TGTTGTGGTGGATGGACTTGCTTGGTCCAGTGATTCTGAGTACGATTCCGTCAGGAGATGTAAACACTTCGTAGAACAACCCTTGGCTGCAAGGTCGAAGGTGAGGATCCGGACTAAACAAAAACAACTTCAAATACCCCGACGGTGGTGCAAACAGATGATTAAAACAGATCTGAATGGTTGAACCAGCGGATGAAGACGGCTACACATGACAGACATACTATAGAAGGCGTCACTCGAAATTATAACGGAGTCAGCGGCAGTCCGTTGCAGTTTCATAATTCTGCATGAAATTAAGACTGTGGGTGACTTCCTGGCACCACCTTAAACAAATTCACGCCATCGTCATTTTCTTGTATTCTGATTTTGTTTCATCTTCCGCCAACACTTGCGAAGCCAAACGGCGACAGGGAACAGATGATGGCATAAAATTCTGGTGAAGCTGAAAGTTTCTAGTTCTGAACGTGATCGTTGGCGACGAATTTAGTCATGAACACTGTCATCACGGAAGCGAACAGCAAAGAAGAAATTAAATTTTTGGATACAAGATAAAGCCATCCACAATTTCCTCGCATCATCAAAATCAAAATATAAGCTCCAGGATTGCTTCTCCGGAATTTAAATTTGGGAAATTATATTTTATACTAGACTCGAGGCAATTTAGTTCTCGTTCTAAAGAAGGATACTAAGGCTACCATGCAACGAACAATTGAGTAGCGATGAGGTTTTAGCGAGGATGCTATTCATAGCATCAGGAAGAGACAGCTGAAATTTCTGGGACACTTAATGAGAAAAGAAGGTTTGGAGAATCTGATATTCACAAGGCGGACAGAGGGAAAGAGAGATAAAATGGAACGAACATTTGTGAAACGATGAGACTTTAGCGAGGACGCTATACATAGCATCAGGAAGAGACAGCTGAAATTTCTGGGACACTTATTGAGAAAAGACGGTTTGGAGAATCTGATACTCATAAGGCGGACAGAGGGAAAGAGAGATAAAGGAAAGCAACGCGTGACATACTTAGCGGGCTTAAGCATGTGGATGGCAGAACATGCTCTGGGAGATGTAGCAAAAAGTTAAAATATATTGAGAAGTACAAGGGATAGGAGAAAGTGGAGAACCGTGATCGCCTACGTCCTGAGGGAAATAAAAGAAGACGACTTGGTTATCAAAGTCACTGATCATTTAGTAGCCGTTCAAAAGAAATTATCTTCGTTGATGCTGGACGAGTGCTATTTTATTCATCTTCAATCTTCTTTCACGCTAAAAAAAGTTGTTGTATACTCCCAGGGCTGCTTTTAATTATGTCGGTAAATAAAATTCAGGGTTAATATTAAAATAAATGCGAATCTTATCTTCCGATACTAGTGTTCACGTACCGACAATTATATATTTCTAACAGTAGATTAGGCGAGCCAACAAACATATGGATATTTCCAGATCAAAGTGATTTCATGTTCTCATGCTGTAGGACGTATTACAATTATGAAAACGGAACGTTGTTTTGAAAGAGGTTATTTAAGTTGATGAGGTAAAGTTAATAATTTACTTATTACCTCTTTTAAAACTAGACTTTATTTATATTTTTTATCTGAGCCAATTAATTGAGATTTTTTTTTAAAAATCTGAACGTTTTCTTTCATTCTTTATTTAAACCGAGTACATTTTAAAATAAGTGTAGTATGTAAAATGGATAAACTTTAAAACTGATAGACGATCATATTTCTCTCAGTAAAGCAGAACACCACAATTTCTAGACGTAACATTCAGTAATTTTTATTTCCAGCTCAAAGTGATTTCAAGTTCACAGGCTGGAGGACATATTACAATTATGAAAACGGAACATTGTTTTGAAAGAGGTTATTTAAGTTGATGAAATAAAGTTAATAATTTGCGTATTACGTCTTTCAAAACTACACATATATTGCAATAAAAATATTATTTAAATAAGGATTTCTACTTTACCATGCTGATGTTGCTACATGCTTTACTTCTTGCCTATCTCACACTGCGAATTTTTCTAAGCTCTATACTAAACATTAAATCTTTTACGAAACAAGAACTAAACAAAATGAACACAAAACGATCAGCTTGAAAAAAGAATGTTAACAACAAATACTTTTTCACACCCAACCTAGTTCTGAGGAATCAGAATCAACGTTGAGTTTAAGCAACGAATGCGCCAATTGGAGTAAAGTGTCATGCAGATTTAAGTTTTTCCCACTTGTGACGAATGCAGCTATCGATGTTTGTGCATGCTAGTTAACTTTCGTGTCAGTCAGCTGTTGGCTCTCACGCTGGCCAATAGAATCATCCTGTCTATTCGTGGCAGCCACCTATAGGCTCTCACTCTGGCCAGTAGAAAATGGACGAGAACTACATGAAAACTGCCGTAGAAACATGAAAAATTGATTATTTCCACTATCGATGGAAGTTGGGAAATGCAAAGTCGGTCTTGGCCTTCCGCTAACTTGGAGCATAAGCATGTAATTTTTGGTGCAAAACCGTCGAAAATTGCGGTCGTGCATTCGTTACACATACACACGCACACAAATACACACATTCTGCATTTTATAGATAGAGATTTTAATTTCTTTTGGAGAAGCATTTGGATGGCTGTCATTGAATTTAAATGCACATGGCCATGCGATAACGATCGATCATCCCGTGGTCATATGTTCCCACTTCGATACTGATGACACAAAAATTTACTCCTGTCTAAGTATATAAGTCTGATAGGTTCGATAAAAACAAATTCACATCTGATCTCAAAAAGTGTTTGTAATAGTGTAAGAAGTGGCTTGTTCATTTTAACATCTCTAAAACGAAACTGCTCTATATTAATAATCTTAAAGGACTTTTTTTTGGCCTTCCATCAGAATGTCGTGTTGGATGGGCTTGCGTGGTTCGGTGTCCCTGAGAACGAATCTGTCAGGAGTTGTGAACACTTGTTAGGATCATACTTGGCGGCAAGATCTAAGACGAAGATCCAGAGTAAGCGGGACCAACTTCCAAAACCCCGAGAGTGAAATAAACAGATAGTCATTGAAACAGATATGAACGCTTGAACCAACAGATGAGGAGGCCTACGCACTACAGACATACTATAGAAGGCTCCACTCGAAATTATAACAGAGTTAGCAACAGTCCGTTTTAGTGTCATAACTGGATTCTGCATGAAATCAAGAGTGTTGGCCACTTCTTGGCACGTCCTTAAACAAATTCACTCCATCGGCACTTTCTTTTGCTTTCAAAACACTGCACCTTCTTGCTGAAATATTTGCCAATGATATGACGTGGAATTATTATAATCAACGAATTTCTAAATCTGCTGATACAAAAGTCGGTGCCCTATACGGTGCTAGACGGTTTTTCATATCAGAATCTATCTGATACATTTACAAGTCCAACTTTAGTGCATACATCGGATATTGCTGCTACATCTGGTGCTTCCACATATATATATATATATATATATATATATATATATATATATATAGAGAGAGAGAGAGAGAGAGAGATTCTTGACAAAATCAAAGGAAGAATCTGCAACGTTATCATTCCTGAGCTGACATCTTGCCTTCAATTACTTTCCCAAGGCCTTAAAAGAGCTTCCCTGTGCCTTTCTATAAGCATTTTCATGATGACCTTCCCTTGTTGGTACCCCAAATTCATGAATATAAGCGCAGTACTAGATTGCCAACTATATGACATAATTCTACTGTTGCGAATGCTATTTGCAACCGCAAGTTCTATATTTCATATTTTCTTCCCTAACACTTCTTGGTTCCGTCTTTCTGAGTTCCTGTCTATTGTCATATTCAGAAATTTAAAGGCAATGGATTTCGCCATCTTAGATTTCCTTGAATCGTGTTAACTTTTTGAACGTGCTGTATGTTTCAATCAGTTCTCTTCTTCTTTATATGACAGTACGTAGGCGATCATAGCTCTCCACTATTTCTTGTCTCATTTTTATTTCTAAACCTTGTTCCATCATACATTATCTGAAGCTCGTGAAGTATGTTATGCGTTGTTTTATTCTGTCACACTTGTCCTCAAAACTTTCGGTGACTGAATGATTTTCCAATCCCTCCTTCCTGATTGTGTGTTGAAGATATTTCAACTATCTCTTCCTGATGTTAAGTATAGGTTTTCTCTTTTTTTCCATTTCTCTAAAACATCGTCATAATTCACATGTTCGCATCGTGGCAACCTCAGCATCTTTTTGTGGAACGACACTTCTGTTAGTTCAAGTAAGTGGCCATTATTGCCTTGCTTAGATCTAAATGATTAAAAGACATGCAAACACATTCTGAATGTCCCTTTGCTTACATATGCCTATGTCTGTGAAAAAATAAACAAATAAATAAAAGTTATGATCTTTTTCTATTACTTATAGTGAGTGACATTTAGTAGCATATCGACAATTATTGGGATGTTTCTATCTATCGATATCTTTCTAATCATATCTATCTATTTCATACCATCCATAGCTATCATTTATCGATATCAGCTTATTAATCATCACAAACTAAATTTCCAGTTTATTCCGTAATATACATTGAAATTATTTTTTTATATAATGAGAGCAAAATTGAATTCACTTAAAAATGGCAAAGGAATGGAGAAAGCAAAATATCAGGACTAATTCCTCGACGAAACAAAATAGTTAAGTTTCAAAAGCTTAACAAGGAAAAGATGATTATAAGACTATTGAAGCGTTTAGAAATTATAGAGTAATAATTAAAATGAGTTATTTTGTTTAATTTGTAGAAATATTAATGTCATGCACAGAATTAATAATTCAGATGTAAACACACGTATACATACAATTTGAAACGGGTTGAAATAGCAGGCGTGATAAGACAGTACGTGACTGAGTCTGTCTTGAGCACGTCGGACCTAACGACACTTTCTTCAGTCTGTAGTCAAACGAAGTTTATTTTCTAACAAATCTAGCCTTCAGAGAAGCATCAGATATTGAACTAGAGGGAATCCTAGAGAAAAAGAAGGATGTGATGCTTCGGACAATTTCTAACTGGAGAGAAAGGAGGAATTGTTGTTTCGGATAATTTTTGACCTAGAGAAAAAAGGAGGAAGTGAAGTTTCGGACAATTTTGAACTAGAGAGAAAGGAGGAACTGATGTGTCGGACAATTTTGACATAGAGAAGAAGGACGAATAGACGTGTCGGACAATTCGAAATTGGAGAGAAAGAAGGAACTGACGTTTCGAACAATTTTGAACTAGAAAGGATGAACTGACGTGTCGGACAATTTTGAACTAGAAAGAAATGATGGACGGACGAGTCGGACAATTTTGAACTATAGAAAAAGGTTGAACTGACGTACCGGACAATTTTGAACTATAGAAAAAGGTTGAACTGACGTACCGGACAATTTTGAACTAGAGAGAAAAGAGAAACTGATGGCTCGGACAATCTTGAACAAGAGAGAAAGGAAAAAAACTAACGATTAGGAAACTTCCCGGAGAAAGTCGGCTAGAGGCTTCCGAGAAAAAAAAACACTTTTTAAGCTTTTTGGAGGATCATTTTATTACCTGCAGATGAGTGTCGAACGTGGCTGAAAAACACCCCGATAGCGTAGAAGCTTTTTCCCTTCTTTGGGGTTAAAGTATTCTAAAAAATAAAATATAAGCTGAGTCTCATAATTTTTACTACTTATATGCAGAATATCCAACCATTTTTTAAATACGTAAGAGCTTCTCACGACGTAGACATCCATCTTCAGAAGAAATATGGCAATAATCCAATGGTCACCATTCTATAGTCGACATTGTTGAATTACTTTGATTTCTGCTTTCGTATAATCTTAATGACCTCACGTTATCTGGTTATTTAACACCTTTATGAGGAGATTGACGTGGTGATTGATTTATGCTTTTCAATCGTGCGTTAGTAAAAATTAAATGCAACGGAATATGAATTCGTCTCACACATGCAAGCATAAAAGAAATGAAAAGAGCAATACTTTTTCGTCTGCATAAGTCATTTTTCTCTCTTAAGAAGTGCAGCTATGTCGAGACCGAAAGAGTGGTTGACATTATTTGTGTAGAATTGAATATATTATTACGTAGGGGATCTTTATGACATACAAACGTGTATATGCATACAATTTGAAGGGAATTGGAATAACAGCTGGGACTCAAGATTTAAGTTTTATGTCTCAGGCTGTATTTCAACGAAGTATAATTTCTAATAAATGGAGCAATTTAAATGGAAAAACGATATAGATTTGCTATTCGATCGTCTTGCTCTCATAGAACTATCGTGTAACGAGCTAGAGACAATTGTTGAGAAAAAGAGAAACTTACGTACCTGAAAATTCCCGGCGAAGCTGAGCTAGCAACTCCTGTAAACAAGAATAAAAGCTAATAGTTTAATTGATTTGTTGTTTTTTTTTTTTTTACTGTTTACCAACCTTTTGCATTTTCTTATAGATTGCTGTTCTAATTAGATCTGGTAGGAAAATCTCCGTGGCAATTATTGTGAAAGATTTCCTGCAGATAAGTATAGAATAAAACTGGCAGACTCTCAGATAGCGTAGAAGTTAGTTGCTGTCATAGAGCATCGGAAAGTGTACAATGCACCAAAACCTAAGCAGTAGAATTGGTTTAATTGTGATAAAGAAATAATGATTATGTAATAAAAAATGCAAGTTTTATATGGTTATACCTAGAGCCAGCCCAGCTAACACATCAGTCATTTATGTATCATGCGCGATACACGCTTAGGCTATCATGTATCTTTTGACACATGACTGATGAGGCAGATTTTCCTCCTCAGTAGGTTGCCATTTCTTTCTGCGATAGAACCCGGTCTGTCCTGCTATTTACACATAGCAGCGGGGAGAAGATGAGGGTTTATAACTTTCCCAATTGTGTTAGCACGTGAGAGAATGTAATGGATTCGACTGGAATATATATATATATATATATATATATATATATATATATATATATATATATATATATATATAATTGTCGTAGAGAGCGTGAAATCCCGGGTCACAAACTCACATCAATCCAACTAAATATGTTAGCTCTATCACTGATATTGTAGTTTGCTATTTCTTTCTGCGGTGAATAAATTGCTCATCCAAGGCTATAGAACCAAGTCTGCCTTGCTAATAACCTATAGCTTGGAGGAGGAGAAGAGAATTCATACTTTTTTTATCAAGGGTATTATCACGTAAGTGAATGTAATGGATTCGACTGGAATTCGAACTCGGCTCTGCGATTCCTCAATCCAAAACACTGTCCATTACTCCACCATCACTTTCTCGTAACATAGCAAATAGGTTTGGTTAGAGAATAGATGACATTCTGAAGAAGTTACAGTATATTTGCAATCAATTCTAATCCTAACTCCAAAATGATCGTTCATCTCCAAGTTTATCGCAACGTTAATAGTAACGATTCTACAGGCTCTAGCTGAACAAGTGAGTAATGCGCAATTATAGCATCAGAAATGTTTTCTTCACTTAAAAATATGTATAGAAGATATAAACTGCAAACTCTGTGTGGAGGGTGAAAATATCTATATTCACCTTCCAAGAGCAATATAAATTACCAAAAAGACGATCAGAACTTATCTTAAAATGGAGACACAACAATGAATTGGAAATACGTTACTTAAAAAACGAAAACTAAAAACAAATATCTGTCTATATCTCTGAGATGTGGTATTATGATTACTTGCATTATTTGATTCAAACACAGATGTTATCAAAGATACATGGCCCAGTGGATAAAGACGTTGGTTAGAGCCAATGACTTGACCCAAGTATTTGTGAGTTCAATATCAAGTTTCAGCAGTAGAGAACCAAACTTGAAGATTTGAGTTAAAGGGAAATAACTGAGACATCTGAAAGAGGCATGCTACGTGGAAATAAAACAATCTATCCCGGTGGATAAAATAAAGGTTTCGGCTCGAAATTCCAATCAGCTGAAGAAGACCGGAGCGTACAACGGCGGAAACGTTGTGAATATGACAATGATGATAACAATTCGAATAATGTAAATAAGATAAGTAAAAACAAACACCTAGTATAGCAGCACCATGAAAAATGCAACTATATGCACTATGTGCAACCCAGATATAGCATGGACCATGGTTTCCCAACCTGATCGACATAGAGAAGTGGTCTTCTATTTCAAATTTTGAGTAAACAGAACAGAAAATAATGGCCGATTGGAAATTTTGGTGGACAATATTGAATTTTCAGTATTAAAAAGGTTTTTTTTTAACAAATGCCACCCGAAAAAAAACATTCAAAGATACAAGAAGCTGTTTAAAAAATAACAGGAGGCAAAATGGGAAGAGCTGGGATATATTCCAAGCTAAGATACAGATATCCATGTAAACATCGAATGTATTTCTATAGATTTACTAAGGGGCAATAACATTCAAATACTTCTTCAGACGGAATGACATTTTTTCTTACATGAATCAAATAAGAGAAAACTAGGATAACCAAATACCCTCGCTAAAATTTATTTTTAATTTTATAATTATGCAAAAAAATATCGTTTAATTTTTTTGTCAACAATTGCAACGCTAACCTGGAACATAAAAGTAATATTGGCCATGAAACTAAATTTTTATATATATATATATATATATATATATATATATATATATATATATATATAGTTTGCAGTGGTGTAGGTTACTTTTTGTTTTGTTTCTTTAATACTGTAGTATCAGTATTAGACGCTGCATATGTCAGCTTTACTTGGTATATATACGGTATGATAAAATCAGTTTACGAATCAGTAACAAACATTTATTAAACAAGAATTTTTATGCTTTTTATGAATAGTTACTATCCAAATGGGTGGTATAAAATGTTTCCATTGTGAAAATAGGCGATGACGCAAATAATAAAAAAAAATGCGTCGAATTCTCTTCTTTGGACAAAGGCAATATTTTAACCTAAGCAACTCAACATCAGAAATTAATAAATAAGAAATAAAATAAGGAATAAACAAAAAATAAAAAAAAGAAATAATAAAAAGATTAAAATCTATTAATGAAAGCAAAAACACAAGAACACGTAAAAATAATATCCAGTAACAACTAATTGGTGAATAAATGTAAAATAAACTAAGTATGCAATAATAGATAAAGAGTTAAAATTTAACAAACTTTCTTATAAAATAGCTACAAAAAACTTCATTCGAATCCATACATATTTCTACTCAATAGCTTCAAGAATAATTTTGAATATAATGGTTAGAGTTTACCCAATAAGCATTTGGATAATCCAATAAACATTACTACACCAAATGTCTTATTGACCAGTATATATAAACAGTAGAGCCAAAACACGACACAAAACCTGAAGACAGCGATCATGCATGAAAGAAACAGCTGCAACTCGCTCCAAAGTCCAGTCATATCTATCTATCTATCTATCTATCTATCTATCTATCTATCTATCTATCTATCTCTCTCTATATATATATATATATATACATATATATGTATGTATATATATATATATATATATATATATATATATATATATATATATATATATATATATATATATATATATATATATATATATACATATATATATATATGTATATATATATATATATATATATATATATATATATATATATATATGTATATATACATATATATATATATATATATATATATATATATATATGTATGTATATATACATATATATATATATATATATATATATATATATATATATATATATATATATATATACGTTTTGGATAAATCAAATAACTTGATATTACCAATCGTATATACGTACGTTAGCGCGTATACACAGGTAAGCGAATAAATATTAAATCAATTTAATTTAATGTGTAAAAAAACAGTACTCAATTTGGTTAGACAGCTAAGAAGTGTGTGTATATATATATATATATATATATATATATATATATATATATATATATATATATATATTACTGTCTCTGTTCCGCTGTTGTTGGTATCTCGGTTGAAATTAACTATATAACGTATTGTTTTGTACAGGGGGTGTTGATAAATTTGATTTCAATGTTGAACAAGTATATTCTTGATGGTGGTTGTAATTTTAGTAAGTATTAAAATTATGTGCTTCCTTTTTTATGGTTGCCGTGATTATTATTACAGAGGATTAAGTGCTAACCTGCTCTTGAAACTAGTTGTAGTGCACTGTCAGAAAAATCATATATTGATATAAGAAAAAAAATATAAAAGAACCGTCATTAGATGTGTAGCATTTTTTTCTCTATCAGTCCGTCGCTCCTTTGTAGGTTAATTAATTTATTAGTAAAAAATCTATCTATCTATCTATCTATCTATCTATATATATATATATATATATATATATATATATATATATATATATATATATCTACCTGTTCCTCTGTCTTTATCTATTTACCTGCTTATCTCTGTTTCTCTGTCTGCATCTTTTTGTCTCTTTGCCTTATTTTTCTATTTCTCTCTCTCTCTCTCTCTCTCTCTATATATATATATATATATATATATATATATATATATATATATATGTATGTATGTATCCTATATATTCCTATATATATCTATCTATTCATCTATCTATCTATCTATCTATCTATCTATCTATCTGTCTGTTCTATCTATCTATCTATCTATCTATTCATCTATCTATCTATCTATCCCAGCTGATTCATGTTTGTTATAACTGTCTATCTGTCTGTGATATATATATATATATATGTATATATATATATATATAGAGAGAGAGAGAGATAGATAGATAGATATATAGATAGATAGATAGATAGATAGATAGATAGATAGATAGATAGATATTGCGTGTGTGCCCATAGATTCGTTCATTCATTCGCTTTCGAGTGACATTGTAATCTAAAACCAGTAGTGTTATATCATCTTCTCTCCCTTCATATTCCATTGGTAAGAATTGAGTTATACTCAGACAGTACCCCACCTTAGAAATGTCACTTGGTGGATCAAGCTCTCGAGAAGATGCTTCATCGATCACTAGAATTTTATTCTCTTCAAATCTAGAGCCAACTGATATCTAATTTGCATAATATGCCCCACTTCTAACTTTCTCACCGCTAACACCTTTAAAAAATCTCATTCAATAATCTTCTCGCCATGGGTAAGACGATAAAGGACGTCCAACAACAGCAAGAAAATTTTGAAGAAAAATTATTGCTAGCAAAAATTTTTGAAAAATAAAATTACCAGCTACCAGCTACCAGCTATACATTTAAAAACATATTACCAGCAATGAAAATCTTGCCAGCATTAAATAACCCATTGAGGTTGATATGACATAAAGCAAAATAAACCAAACCAAATGAATAACATGCTATTTTGAGTGGCTCTTTGGAATTGTATTGGATGGACTATAATTTAAAAAAAAATAATTCCTTACACTGACAGGAGATACTTGAACGTACTTGATCAAAGGACTTTGACATTTTAGATTAATAAGCATAAACATCAAATAGGAAAATTATGTCAAACTAACAGGTTTCAAAAAAGAAAAGAAAAAGAGAATCATATTAGATTGAGATGTTTCCTATTTGTTCTATTCTCTCATAGATAGATAGATAGATAGATAGATAGATAGATAGATAGATAGATAGAATATCAACAGACCGAAATAGATATAAATTAACAGGCTGAGACAAATAGATAGGAACAGACTAAGATAGACATGAATCGACTTGGATAGATAGATAGATAGATAGATAGATAGATAGATAGATAGATAGATAGATAGATAGATAAAAAAGGCAGAAACAAATTGATAGAAATAGAAAGAGGCAGGTATATAGATAGAGAGAGAGAGTGACGCGGATAGATAGATAGATAGATAGATAGATAGATAGATAGATAGATAGATAGATAGATAGATATGACGCACTGACATATTGACAACCAAATCCAGTTGTTTAGCAGCTACAGGCGTACAGATTCATCATTTAAAATGATCAATCTCACGCAACGACAATCAATGGCGTTCTTTAACCTAGCGCTCTATATTAGAACATAACACATATCTGAGCAAAGAAAGATCGGTTGATTCAGAAAGCATTTACAAAATGACAGCTAACATGATTCTTCTTTCTTCTAACGAGAAAATAATCTTTGCTTCGGGCTGAAATTATAAATTATTATTTTTTTATATATATTTTATTTCTTGCCATAACGCTCAGATTTAGTTTTTGTCTCACAGACATGTTACTTTTTTCATCAGGCGTTTTGGTTGGCTCGAAAGATTTGTTATGGCTTTTGCAAAATAATATTTGCAAAGATTATTACATTAAGTCTTCTTTTTTTTTTTTAACGTTCTTGCAAGATATGATGCTAAGTAGGCGATTGCTTACAGCGAAGCAGAAAAATAGTAACAGGAACAGATAGTTTCAAAAAAAAAAGAAAGAAAGAAGGACGGAGGCGAAGATGGTAAGAGGGAAAAGCTGTGAGAAAGTTTCAACGCCATTGAAAGTAATGGCGAAAGAGAGGAACAATGAAAAAGAAGATGTTAATTGTAGCAAGGTTGAAAGAGATGTCTATGTTGAAGAAGTTACTGAAGACTGTAAAAAAAATCGGAAAAATAAAAAAAAAAAATACAGTAATAAAACTAGAAAATGAAAGCGACTGAGCAAAATCTGAGGAAGGAAATAGAAAAAAAAAATTGTGTATGAAGAACGTAGATCTGAATACAATACATTTTAAAATGACAAAGCAAATGAGTATTCATTTTTTTTTTCTTTTTGTAACATGAAAACAGTCCGGAGGAAAAAGACGGAAAAAGAGACAAAAAAAATCCGTAAATGGATGAATGGCAATTATGAAATTAGAGAAAGTATAAAGAAAAAGAAAGATGCTGAACAAAGAACAGCAGATAATAAACAGGACACTTGAAAAATATCTATTTACGGAAATACGTGAAAAGAACATAGAAACAAAAACAATGAAGAAGAAGAATAAAAAAGAATAAAACAGAAATAAATAAAGGAAAATCGATAATAAACTATATAATATTTTTCATGTCTATCCAACGTTGTCCTTATTGTGTAATATCTCTTACATTGTATTTATTAAAGCTATTTCCATTGCACGCCTGCTGCCAGATGCCACTATATTTGATAGAGAAATGCAAATTTTTCCGTTATGAACAGATGCATGGAAATAGCATCAATTATTATAGATTTATCATTACATCTATAATTATGGGAAAATATATATATATATATATATATATATATATATATATATATATATATATATATATATATATATATATATGCACACACACACACACATATATATATATATATATATATATATATATATATATATATATATATATATATATTAAAAGAAAACAGACCGCTTTAAGGTTCCATTGTAATAATTTATTTCACCAGAGCAATTTTAAATGACTCTGGATCATCAGATAGCACTTCCAAAAGATGAAACGAAACGAAATGAAATGAAAATTCATACATTTGATGGGTAGTGTAAGTTTTTGTAATTCAACAGAGGGGTTAATGAGGGGTGGTTTCAGAGACATGGTCGAGTTTAGAGAAGGTTTACTTAATATTTCTCAATCCTACTTAGTATTGGGGAAGAAGGGACCAGACCTTGACCTATTTAATCGATTAAGTCAACGGAAGTGATATATATATATATATATATATATATATATATATATATATATATATATATTTGTCGATGACTTATATTCCACAATCGACAATGGTGCCCTGTCTATGTTACAGTTTATCATGACATGAAAAAACTCACCCACATCAACCTCTGAGCTTACTTTTTATTTAGCGTAGATCTGACAATTAATTAGTGAATCATGACATGCCAACAAGAATAATTCTAATTCTTACATGATGAACCTGAAACCAAGAGAAAAAACGACAGAAGAAAAAGGGTAAAGAAAACATAAACTAGGTGTGGCTAAATGACTAAGGCAGAGCAATTCCGCGTTCCAGCACGACGACAAATAATGAGATAAGTTCTGACCGCTACTCGAGTTTCTCGTTAGCGCGATAGTTCGACAACTAGAATATATAAAAATAATATTCAATCCATTGTTAAATTTGTTGTCAATATGTTCAGTTCATTCTCTTGCTCCAAATAAGACCTGACTCCTACTGCCATGCTTCATCTTTACTTTGTTCAGATGAGATCAAATATGGAGTATTTTCTAAAATTCTAAATCGGTTGTCCTACAGGAAAGGGTGTATTCTCTACTTCACAGCCTCGTTCCCATCTGCAACTTCGCAGCTATCAATAAGTTATGGCTATTTTCAAAATAATTGTTCGGATGATCGCCAATCTTTGCTTCTGCCAATTCAGAACTTTACTTCTCCGTCATGTCGGGCTTACAGCAACATCACATCGAAACACCGGTTCCCGTACGTTCACCGAAGTTAAGCAATATCGAGCCTCGTCAATATCTAAATGGATGACTGCTTGGGAATAATTTGTTGCAAGTTTGGATGTAAATGTGGCGTAATATCTAATGGCTCGGAATTGTTAATCGGAGAGCCGACTTTCAATGCCAGTTGGGTTCGTTTTTTTTACTCGCAAATACCCTTGGAAAGTTATGGATCCACCTTTTATCTCCCATCCATGGGTTAATTAGTAACCCTTGTGTCACTAAACCATTATTATTTCCCAAGTAAAGATGTGTTCAAAATATTTAGATGTGGCGATTGAACAACATGTAAATCACTGATATGCCACTAACCAAAAACAAACAATTAGATAAAGCCATACTACTTTGATGGGTTTTAGTAATCCTCTTTTCCAAAATAAACCAAATGAAAGGATAAATTGTGAATCAGTTTCCTAAGAACTGCTACCCCTTCGAACAGGCTTCCACTTTTATCCTTCTATGAACACAACAATTCTAATCTGGTTAAACCGAGTCTCAATGAATATATACCATTCTCAAATATCACATTCTCACATCACCTACCTGATTCTCTGTAGCTCATATCATAACATATACATAATATTAATTTAAGCAGTAGAATTCTACCTTGTTTGGCTCTCGAGGCTCGTTTAAGTTGAACTTTAGTATAACGGAATGAGGCTGAAGAAATGAGGTGGTTTCCTGAATGTTTTTATTTTTTTTTTATCTATTTATTCGTAAATGGAGTGTTTCGGAAGCAAATTATATCACACGGAAATTAGTTCAACTCGAAGTGTGGAATTAAATCTTACATCGATGATATCTGCGAACAGCGTTAACACGCATTAAAAAATATGCTAAAATTACAATAAAACGAAACAAATTTAAAAGAAATAGGAGTACCCCCCCAAAATCATAAATATTTACTTATTATAATATTTCCTAAAATGGCAACATCCACTCTTAAAAATGAGATGCGCCCCAACTGAAAGAATTTTGAATAATTCATATCGTATCAAGTTACTAAAATCACTCAGAATTCATCAGATAATTCTTTTAGAATTCAAAAATATGCTATGTATCATTTTTCTTTTAATATGTGGAATCTTTTGAGACTTATTTATTCATTGTCCGTTTATATTTTACGTATATATTGTACCTTTACTTATTATAGTTTAAATAATTCAAGTATCCACTTTGGCATAATAGTGATAATAGTAAAACTATACGGTTTAAAATATCAAAATAAATGCATTGATTAATTATGGATAAGTAATTGATTCGACTTGGAAACACACACGGACACTGAGACTGATCTCTGGATTAGTTTCGATTCCACTATATTTCCAATTTCACCCCAAACGAAGCGGGAATGCCACTAGTACGCAAAGGGTTACAGAGCCTGATGGTGAGATTAAGATTAATG